TAAAATCCTGACCTAAATATACAAATTAATAATTTATTATGCAATAATAATTGTAAAACTGACTGGGAATGCCTACCAATGGGACATTTAGTCCACCCTTAATCCCTTTTATAAAGGTGTTATAAACATTAATGTGTAAATAAATTAAGAAATAAGAGATAAGTATTACCTATCTAAGTATAGTTTAGGAGTTGTACCTTATTATTTATACCATTAAAATATATTGTATACAAGGCAAATAATATATATATATACACTCCTAATCTGATTCTAACGACCAGCACCCAAGAATTTCTGCCATGCAAAGGTATAAATCAAGTTTACAAATGCATATTTTTGAGAAATTCTAAGGCTACTCAAACCAAGCATTACAACTAATGCTCTAGAAAGAAGACAAAAATTTTGTTAAATTTATTGTTTATTAATGTGTTGAAAAATTAATAAATAATCGTTTGTTTATTTTAATTTGATTGAATTATATTTAATATATAATTGTGTTTTCATTTGTTTTACTTTATGTAACATTGTTAATATTTCTAAAAGTTGTGTAAGTACGCAAAATTTAGTTCTTTTTCCTTTTTAAATTTCAATATATTTTCATTTAAATAGAATATATATCTTTACAGTCTATCAAAAGTCCACTGTTGAACATAAACATGATTATAGTTATTTGGCATAGTTTCAACGCTTGGAAAGCGGGTTGTCAACCATTATTTAGCTGTTATCAGGACAATGCTCGTCGCTGATCGTCGAAATCCAAAGAGTTTATTGAATGTCCAGTAAAATCGTCGATGCGCCGTTGAATACAGAATGATGATTCTGTTTTTACGCCGTTTCCGCCAGTAGTTTTTGTCACAGAATGTATTTTCAAGAGAAATTAATTAATCATCTGAATTATATAAGAACTTTTTTTATGGTAACAATTAAGTTTTTTGTATGAATGTAAGTGCTGTGAATATAAATAAACGCATAACGGGGGAAATGGAACAATATCTGGTAACCCAGTGAAAGTACCTCCCGCCTATTTCTATCTCAAAAGCATACGCGAATGCTTTATCTAGTCAATCCTCTATCTACGAAACAATAATAAAAAATACAAAATATCAACATTCCAACAAGTAACAGCTACAACAATAATTCAAGTAATCGATCTCAGATAGATTAGTGATGCGTTAACTCGAGTTGAATCTTCCTAACTTGAGTTTGGGTTGCTGTACATGAACGGATCAAGTGAGCTAGCAAAAGAGTAAAAGTGCAATTTGTTTGTTGTGTGCGCGCTTTGCGTTTCAAAGAGTATTTAGCTACAACCAAAACAATTTGTTATTTAGAATTTTATTATAGCTAGTTGTGTAATTTAATTCCCTATATAATTTTGATTAATTATGATCAATATAGTATCATCATACTTTAAATTAACGCCAAATGTAACACTTAACTCAAATTTCAAATTCAAATTCAAATCGTTTATTGCGAATATAGGTTGATACAGTTGGTGTTTACATAGTTTATCACTTATAGAACAAACATTTAGTACAGCTATATTCCGCCATTTGGCATGCAATGTCCATCACATTTTATTACTTTTATATTAAATTACTTAAACATACTCTAGTTAAAATTGGAATTAACATGATACAAAATCAAAAATAATAGCGATAAGTCAATTTAGATAATACATATTTATTTAGATAATATTGTATAAGTCAAGTCAATTTAGTTATTCTCAGTCATGTAACAGTCAATTATTGAATTTCATATTTGTCTTCGAGATATTCTTTCACACTGTAGTATGCCTTATTAAGAAGAAATTGCTTCAATAGTATTTTAAACTTATCTATATTGGAGCATCTCAAAATGTGTAATGGTAAATGGTTATAAATTCTAGGGGCCATACAAAATACACTGTTGTTAAATTGGGCTGTGTTGTTTGATGGAAAACATATTTTTTGATTATTACGTTTACTGTGTAGGCACTCAAATAAAGAAATATGCGTAGTAACAAAAACGGCTATCTCATATATATAAAGGCACGGAAGTGTTAACAGTTTCAGACTAATAAAAAATGGTTTACAACTATCTGTCTGTTTTAACTTCACAATGGCTCTTACACATCTTTTTTGGGCTCTAAATATCATTTCATTATCTACAGAGTTACCCCAAAAGATGACACCATACCTTAACACCGATTCTACATAACCGTGGTACGCAGTGATGACGGCAGATTGATTCACAATTGTTCCAAGTCTATATAGAGCATAAGAGAACCGATTGAGTTTAGTACAAATATCTTCCACTTGAGATTTCCATTTTAAGTTTGAATCGAGATTGAGGCCTAAAAATTTTGCATTTTCGACTACATTAATTTCTTGTCCGTTGTAGCAAATATTAATATTTATTAAATTATTTTTCACGTTTCTAAATGTCATTAGATTTGTTTTATTTAGATTAATTAATAAATTATTATTTGATAACCATTGAATTATTATGTCTAATGTTTGATTTATATCAGATATCATTTGATTTTTGCTTGTGCTTGTAAACATCACTGTGCTGTCGTCTGCAAATAGTACCATATCTTGATTTATATAATTTGGTAAATCGTTTATATAAACAAGGAATAACAATGGACCAAGAATACTTCCCTGGGGTACTCCTTGAGTTACTTCGCGATATGAGGATGAGTAAACTATTTGTCTATACGTTTTTGAGCATATACGGGTAATTTGTGTACATTGTTGTCTATTTATTAAGTATGTTTTTATGAGATTGAGGACATTTCCTCGGACTCCGTATGCTTCTAGTTTACTTAAGAGGATACTGTGATTAACATAGTCAAAAGCTTTAGTTAAATCCATATATAGAGCAGATACTAAGTGCTTATTATTAAGGCTTGTCATTACAGTACGCAGAAATTGAAAGACAGCTAAATTTATACTTTTATTCTTTCGAAATCCGACTTGTTTCTCTGTGAATATTTTATATTTTTCAAAGAAATCATTAAGGTTGTGACTTATTACCTTTTCAAAAATTTTAGAGAATATCGGTATGAGTGCTATGGGTCTATAATTTGCAACATCACTCTTGTCTTTTTTCTTAAATATAGGTTTAACTACCGTTTTTTTTAATTTATTTGGGAATATTCCAGAGGCTATACTTAAATTTATGATGTAGGATAAAACGGATGAGATGATGGTTGATACATTTTTTAATACCTTTGTGCTAACGTCATCATAACCTGTGCTATTTGTATTATTTAATGACTTAATTATATTATTAATATCGAAAGGAGTAGTTGGGTTCATAAATAATGAGTTATAAGAATTGGGTACTTTGGAGTTAATATTCATTGCTCTTATATTACTGTCATTTCCATTTATGAAGTAATTGTTAAATAACTCTGCGATATCTTTGGGGTCATCAGTGATCACTCCATTATTATTGATATGTCTGATTTCCTCTTTAATCACATTCCTGTTATTATAATTGATGATTGACCAAGTAACTTTAGATTAACTCACAATAAATATATTGAATTTATTTAAGAATATTTTGACTTTAAACTTCAACCTTTTGTAATTAAACTAGTAATAGCTTATGTACCTACATCTTAAAGCTAGACTAATACATAAGTATATGATACATACTAAATATACCTTTTCATATCAATCCTACATAATAAGTTTTAATAGATATAAAAAAGGAAATTATAATTATCTCAACCCATCAAAGAGCTAGATAGAAAAACAAATTTATAAAAAAGTAATTTGTAACAAATCATTTACTCTGATTCGTACTGCTAACTCAAGTTGCGTGAATTTCAACTCGAGTTAAATCAAGTCAAAATTTTCTAAGTTGGCACATCTATAAGATCAGAATCCCTAATATTCACTTCACTTAGTTGTTGTTGTTTTAACTTTCATTAATCGTTTGACCATTTCGTTTCATTATTAACCACAGCTTTTTTGGTGATTTTTTAATGATCTTGCTTTTAAATATTGAAGTAATTATAGCGAAAAATAGCCTGTTACTGTGTAATAATAGTGAAAAATCACCTGTTACAGTGTAGCCAATAGATAATCTCACTTTTACTTATTCTACAATAACTTCCTAGATTGACAAATCTTGCCAGATTTTCAGCTATGAATTGTTTATATATACGCTTTATTATACGTACTTTCATCTTGTTAACACTTGGGCCCAAGAATGTATAGAGACGTCTTAAGTACCATGATTGAAAGTAATAAAATAACTCACCTGTTGCAATTAGAGGCACACCATGAGCTATTTCATTGTCAGTAAGCAAGGACGGGTAGGAGTATCGAAGTCTTCTGCCTTCATTGTCGAACTGAAATATATCAAAATGTTTTTCACAGACGTGTTTGTTAAGTAACTGTTCTTTGGAAAGTGCAATGAGCTGGGGATTTGTCGGCACTATGAAAGACATCCATAAATTTCTTAAATTATCGTTCCTAGGGAAACTGAAAAGCCGGTGCGTTTCATGTGTTGTATTGCAACCACCAACACAACACTTTTTGTATACCATTATGTTGGTATATGCAATATTCACACGAGCAGCACAAAAACAGAATATTGTAATAACTTAGGAAAATTCGGTTATGGCGGCAATCAATCAATATCGATAACTTTGACTTTTGACAATATGATTTGACATTAACACAATATGGCGTGTCAACATGCTCAAAATGGCGTCCGTAGGCAGAGAACAAATTTGCGACGGTAGCGCCAAGTTGCATAAATTGGAACTAAGCTGTCACGGGCCTGGCACCGATGACAGGACAGGTCATTTCATAATTTTATTTAAAGGTACTCTGTGATTTTATTCTATTTTCATTTCATTTCATTGCGCACGCGATTTTAAAACGACGAAGTTGTTTTTAACCAAACCACTTTGTGTTTTCAAAACATGTTTTCGTGCCATTATCAAGTGTAGATTTTTGATTTCGTTTTAAATTAACATACAGTGATTAATTATTACAAAAATGAGTGCCAAAAAGGAAACGAAACTTCATGAGGACAAAAACACAGATTCAGGTTATCTATCTGGACCTCTTAGTGAACAGCTGTCAGGAGTTTTAGATGTAGAAATCAGTAGTGATAGCGGAAAAGTGAGTGCTTTTGCGGATGAACAGTTAGATAGTGGCTTGGACCTTTCAGAATGTTTGTCGAATGTAAAGATTAGTGAAACAACTGACACGCAGCTGCCAAAGATCAGAGTAGAGGCTGAAAAGAGCCAGGAATACCCACCTTTTCATATACTATTCGAACAGGACGACGATGGGGATACGTAAGTACTTAATTCTTAAATATTTTACGTTTTATTTTGTTAAATGAAACTAGAACTCGTAAACTCACAGTATAAAAGTTTGTTAGGCCTTGAAATATATTATTTCAACATTCTATATAAATGTGTATTTAGCTTTTAGTATTAACCTGTTTTATTTTCAAATCCTAATTAGTGTTAAGTAATACTTGTTGGAATCATCGGTATTACTTTTATTATAAGTTATTATTCGCTTTTAAAATATTAAAATATAAATAATTTAAAATTAATTTTAGTTCTCTTCATATTGCTCATAATATAAGGATAGTTTTCATGATCTGTAGTCATACATTGATCCTAACATACACTTATTTACAATTTTTATTATCTTATGTATAAACCAATAATACATAAACACTCACGCCCGTTATCCAGAGGGGTAAGCAGATACTACGGACTTCCATTTAGCATGATCCTGACACACCTACCTCGCCTCCTTTACATCCATTTATCTAAAGATACATGCTCATTGGTTTAGGGTACTCTTAATCTGGCCCATCTTCAATATATCGCCAATTTGGTTGATCATTTTCACATCTGCAATATAGATTTGCTTTGTCACTCTTTATAATTTATAAACAATGTAAATTGTGTTTATAGATTTATAGTATGGGATATTCTAATAAGAATCCTATTGATAAACTACTTTTAAAATTTGGTTAAACACTAGCAAGTTATTGATATTATGATAGAAGTAAAAGTTGTAAATTTTTAACACACTTTTATTAACTTGGTTCGTATCTATGTAATGGGATTTTTTAATGTGATTTTCATCAAAACATTGGATTGATTTGAAATTTCGCACACTTATTAAGCACCGATGACAATGCAATAATTTAAATATTTTGTCCCATTATCCTTGTCAGGATCCTCAGGATTTGCAAATAATTCTTAAAACAACTACAATTTCTGCCCGTTCAAAAAAAAACACACTTGTAGTTGCCATACTAAAACCTTTTTTACAATAAAATTATTTTTTTATGTTAATCACTATTTTCTTATTTTAAACTTATTGAAAATTATTTTCTCCTTAGTTAGGTTATCTACAAAAGCATGTTTATTTAGTTTTTGTTTTAAAACTATTATTTATTTTAAAAATATGTTTTTAATTTTTTAACATATTTTTAATGGATGTAAAAACGGACTATATTTTATCAATATTTTAAGCGTTTCCATCAATGCACCATTTATATTTGATAGTGATTTACTAATTTTAATGCAGCTATATCCTAGTCCAACTGCATTTAAATAGTTATATGTAATATTGAGTCCGACATTCAGTCAAATAGTAGAAATGTTATACCTTTTTTACACATGGTAGAGTCATGCTGCAGCTAATTAATTGTATAGTTGTAGCACAAATGGGTTGGCTCGACCGGGGAAGGACCACACTCACAGAATAACACGTTAAATAACAGCATAATGCTGCTGTGTTTAGTATAGTGAGTGTAGAGAACCGGAGACCCTTTTTACTAGAAAAAAGGCATTCCATCTTAGTCCTCAAGGCTGACAACGCATCTGCATTTTGATTCACAAATGGGGATAGATGTAGATGTTTATGGGTCACAGCAACAATTTACCATCAAGTGGACTGTGCTCGCTTGTCGCCCGATTCTATAAAAAAAACCTATTGTTATTATAGGCACAAATTCAAAAAAAGTATTATATGTGAAAATAGTGGAACATAATTACAAAAAACTAAAGAAAAAAACTGTGTTTACACAATAATATTTAAAGCCTAGACTAACAAAAGTATGATAGGTTTTATACAGTTAAGCCTAACTTCATTTTATTATTTTAGTAATAATGTGCGTTAAAAAACTTGTAGTTCAGGATTTTTAGGCTTGCACAACTTGCGGTCCAACAAATTAACATGTTAATGTGTAAAATTAAACCGATGCAATTTAGTCTGCACAGAGTAACCAATATAAAATTAATTTGCTATATTATATTGTTAAAAGTTAAGTTAAAGTTACAGCCTATATACGTCCCACTGCTGGGCACAGGCCTGCCCCCCATTTCTGAGAGGGTTTTAGGGCAAGGGATTGTCTGCTGCGCTGCCCCAATGCATGATGGCAAACTTCACATCTTTTTCACATCGAATTTTTTTTTCTTATTTCTCAACATGCAGGTTTCCTTACGATGTTTCCTTCACCACCGAGCATGTGGTAAATCAGCACTTAAAATTGCAATTAACAATTTCATTGGTGCCGGTGGGGACGGAACCAGGATTGCTCGCGTACTGTGAAAGTTACAGCAAGCGCTAACCATCTGTGCTACCACAGCTCTATTATACTGTAAATGTACTTAATTGTTATAAGAATTAGTTATGATAACAAAGTTTTTATATCTATTTAATATTCATGGTGAATTTAAGATAATCTTTAAAAAAGTTATCCATCATTACCACAGCTTTTAACAATATTTGTTTTGATTTAATTTCACAGTCAGGTTAAGTCTTTACTATCACAATTATTTATATAGTGTTGGAGTTTTGCTTTTATTTGTATTTTGTTTTTTTTTTCTACTTAAACCTACCTAATGTTAAAGTAAATAGTTATACTGGTAACTAAATTGTTTTATTACTTAGTCCCTTATTTTAAAATGTAAAAGTAACAACAAAATAGTGATATATTTCCTTATGATGTCACTATATGGCAGTTATTTAATGGCATAAATCCAGAGATAAACATTAAAAATAATATGATATAATAAATCATTAGATTAATCAGAATTAGACATTGCTTTATTTCCTTGTAAATTAATGATTCAATTTTACTTGTTTATGAATTACAACAGTTAAATTAGTCAGCTGTTGAGGTTTAAACTTCTTCCGAGAATTTTATTAACAACTTCCTTGTTTTTTTCTAGCTCTTATATAATATGCAAATTTAGTGATTGTAACTAATAATGTTATCTTATCATTTATTTTTTTTATATTTATATCATTATGATGTTCAAATAATTTGATTTCATCATGTGTGTGTTGATTTATAACTATTTCATTTTGGAGGCCCCTTAACTTATCCATCCATTCATCATAGTCTATAATATTCCACTGCTGAATATAGGCTTCTTCCAAAGGTTGCTAAAGATCAGAATATCGGAAAAAAGATCACCGCTATGGTGATTTTGCTATAGTAGACCCTCTGTCGTGATGACACCAATGGGACTAATGGGTTGTGGATATTCTTACACCGCCACTACATGGTTAACTTATCAGTGCAAATATTTATTACCTTCTCTACATAGTGTAAAACAAAGTTGCTTCCCGCCGTTTGTACACTTAGATCTTTTAAACTACACAACGGATTTTGGCGCAGTTTTTATCAATAGACAGAATAATTCAGGAGGAAGGTTTATATGTATAAACTTGCATAATATATATTATAAAATTCTTCAGTTTGTGTGTGTGACTGAACTCCTCCTAGACGGTTGGACCGATTTTGATGGAATTTTGTATGTGATTAAGTTGATTAGAGAATGGTTTAGATTCACAACTTGGTCCTGTAGGTGACGTTGTTGTTGAGATCCAAAAATCAAATGTGCAAAGCTGGGGGCGGATCGTTAGTAAATTATTATTTGATAATTTTACTTTAGTAGTATAGTTGTAGCACGCATGGGTCGGCTTGACCGGGGAAGGACCACACTCTCTAAGAATACCAGCGTAAAATGGCACCATGACACTGCTGTGTTTTGTATGGTAAGTGTAGAGAACCAGAGACCCCTTTTACTGGAAACGAGGCATTCTATTTTAGTCTTTACAGGTGACAATGCATCTGCATTTTGATTCATAGTTTAGTTCGTAGAGGATGGATGTAAATGTCTATGGGCCACAGCAACTACTTATCATCAGGTGGACTGTCTGCTTGTTTGTCACCTTTATACTATAAAAAAACCTCAAAATTTTTATCTCCTTAACACTAAACTAAATCAGATTATGTCGATTAATATCACATTTATCAGAAATTGTAGTGTTAGTATTAGTATTGGAACTTTTGGATAAGCAATGAAAATTCAACTCTGACTTTGATAGTTTAATGTAGGTTTTCCCGTTACGGCATACACTTTTACATTCATTTACACTTAGTTCTGTCTTGGTTCATTAACATTACTAGTATTGTCTGTTGAATAAAACTACTTTTACGGATTTTATCGCGTTTAATTTACTTAATTTTAATTCCCGACATTTCGGGTGCTTTCCAGCACCCATGTTCACGGGCGACTGAGGTAATTGACCCAAGCATACTACTGCAAGACTTCAAGACACAGTAAGTTCATTCTGTGTGGATCAGACCAAAGTAATAATTAAAAAGCTGAAAGTACTCCGGGTTTAATCTGACATCGGGACATCAATCGCATCAGTCCCCAATGACCATGGGGGCCAGAAAGCACCCGAAACTTTGGGAATTAAAATTAAGTAAAAGTAATTAAATTAAGTAAATTAAACACAATTAAATCCGTAAAAGTAGTTTTATACAATATGTAGTGTTGGCGCAAATATAAGAAATGATTAGTGATACCTGTGATCAAAATTACAGTACCTTTTCAGTAATATGTTTTATTATAATAAATACGAAAATAAAGATACACACAGATATTAATGATACATAATTATATTGTTTTAATGAAAGCCTTTACTTTCAGACAACTTCACATCGCGTCAGTGCATGGCTGTGAGAAATCAGTAGGAACCCTCATCAGAGTGTGTCCAGAGAAATCATGGCTAGACGTCCCTAATGACTACGGCCACACAGCATTGCACTTGGCAGTGTTGAGCGGCAACGCGGTGGTCACAAGAATGTTGGTGATTGCGGGAGCATCTCTAGCTCATAGGGACCACAACGGGGAGACGCCGTTACACTTAGCCGTGGCTGCTAATGACAGAGAGTGCCTACAAGCGTTATTAGCACCAGTACAAGACCAGCCCCATCGGAAGCTATCTTCGGTGCTCAATCAGAAAAATTACAACGGTGAGTTTATTAATTATTTAATAAACTTGTAAATTTAATGGAGACTATCACTTTATAGTTATTATTTCATTCGCCGTCGGTCAAGTAGCCGCCATAAATCCGGAATAATCTTTGAATTTTCTAATATGTTGAAAATTCACTTTTTTTTTTCTTTCGTAATGGAGTCTTATGATTAGCACTTTTGCCAGTTTGTAAGTTATTTATACTTACGATACTAATAATCTTATACTTACAATAATTATAACTTTTAACTAAAAGTAAAAACCGACTCAAACTGCTATAACAGAAGTTATTTATTGCCTACTCTTAGGGGGTGAAATTTTTCTTCAAATTTATATGGGACCACCCTTGAAATATAACCTATTTAATAAAAAAAGAATCATCAAAATTGGTTCACAATCTGCGAAGATATCGCGTAATATACATACAAAAAATATATATACCCTCGAATTGAGAACCTCCTCTTTTTTGAAGTCGGTTAATAACTTCTCATCAAACAGACCAATTAGATTTTTTGCGGATGATATGTGGATGCTCTTTATCGACATATTGCACCTGGTTACTGATGTGTCATACTGTAAAAACCACTAAGGTTTTTCCAGTCATCACATTATAACATAATCACCTCACAAGTTTTCTTTTTAAATTTGTCCTTTTTTTTACATCATTGTGGGATGTTGCGGTCGTTGCATATATGAATGAGCGTCATAAAGCAATTGAGGTCATGAGTGTGGTATAATTTAGTTTTTTTTTATTTTACTTGTTTTAAACCGTATCGGTCGTTGAACAGTTGTATATTTTATAGATAACAGTTAAGGAAGAAGGATGCAGATATTATCATAGATTAAAGTTCACAAACATCCACTACCATTAGGTAGACTGTGGGCTAAACGTTAATTACAAATGAGAGAATTTATCACTCTGACTCGTCCCTCTGAATGTTCCAGACTGATAGGGCTTTTTGTTCCCTAAAAACCGGCAATACTTGATGAGTACTTATCGCTTGTGCTACAGTGGCTTAGATATAGTTAGAAATTATAACTTTCATATAATTAGAAATATAAAAAAAAACGTGTTTATTCGTTACTACAAAAAATATAAAATATAAATATAATGTCCTCCAGACCAAATTTCGGTCACGGCGGCCAGTCTCAACAGATTACAGTGCACAAGTATTCGCAAGCATGGGTGCACTCTCGCATAGGTGCACTCTCTATTCCCTCACTCTCACAGCCCGATGGTACGGTAATCCGACACGACCGGAGACAGATCAGGACCAACGACTTTACGTGCTTTCCGAGGCACGGGGTGAGAACATCCCTAACTTCCTGACTTCGGACTGCTACCGAGAATTTCTTGACGGAAAAAACCCGATAACTGATTTTGGTCATTTGGATTTAAACGCAGCAACCAGCAACCGCGTTTATGATCTCTAAACCAACGAAGCAGCCACCATAACATATCTTCTTCTATATAAATAAAATGATAGAGCTTAGCAGTTGTGCGCGTATTACGGAAAAACTACTTGATAGATTTTTTTTAATAGAATAAGGGTGACAAACGAGCACACAGTCCACCTGATGGTAAGTGGTTGCTGTGGCCCATAGACATCTACATCTATCTTCGTTTGCGAATTAAAATGCAGATGCGTTGTCATCCGTGAGGACTAAGATAGAATGCCTCTTTTCCATTAAAAAGGGTCTCCGGTTCTCTACACTCACCATACTAAACACAGTAGCGTTAAGCTGCTACTTTACGCTGGTATTCTGTGAGAGCGTGGTCCTTCCCCGGATGAGCCGACCCATTCGTGCTACAACTATACTATTAATATAGCTGCAGAATGGCTCTACCATATAAAAAAAAATTCAATTAGGTTTTCTAAGTTTTATTCCATAGATACTTGGCCCTTATCTAAAAAACAAATATTGCGATATCTTCATTCAATATAAAGATATTAAAGTTTTAAAAAACAACGATTTTATAACCACTACGTGTTCAGTGATGTGTTTCTTGATATATCAAGCAACGCAGACGAAGTCGCGGGTATCCGCTAGATATACGAATACATAATATTACGCACCTAAACATTAACATACAAGCAACACGTACATATAAACACGCATATTGAAACAAATATATATATGCGCATATATATATATAAATATAATATATACAAATACTATTTGAATTATGTTTGTCTTTAAAGTCAAAATAAGGCAATACAAGTATAACCTTTGATAGACCTACGATCATATGACCAATGATGAGGAAAAATAGGAATTGATTAAATCAATTGTGTGTCATTCAAGTGGCGTTTTGTTTTATTTTATGTTTAATTTTATTATGTGTTACAATCTTGACTGTTAACATATGGTTTTTAACATATTGTACATTGACAAGTATTTGTGAATCGACTGTAATATAAATAATATTTTATAGTAATAAAATAATAATAAACGTGGTGATTATATACTCTTTGGTAATAATAATATTTGTTACTAAAGAGGTTTTGGCGGGAACTTGATCGGCGGCGGTTTACTGCTCCTGTTTTATTGTTTAAATAATGGTTTGAAGTGGACTTTGATATGTAAAAGTGGTGCGATTTTGTGTATTAAGTGTCTGCGCATGTGAACTATTAGTGGAAATTGTAAAACAAGTGCTCTGATAGTGATGTGATTCTCAAAATAAGGTGCCTGCCTGCTTAGGCACCTTGAGATACCATCGCCAACCGTCAGCTGTCTGCTGGCTCAAGTTACCGTCAAAATCTCCCAAGGGCTGCACAATGTGACGCATCAACATATTGTGAAGCAGTATACTATGAAGAATAGTTATTATAATATAATATTGTAACTTCAGGCTCAGAAGGGCTAGATCCCAGAGCCGTAAAGCCAGTTATTAAGAAGAAGAAGTGTTACTAAAGCACGGTCGCGGAGGAGGAATTTTTTTATTGCTTTGCATTTTTAAACTTTATTCCCATCGTAAAAAGTTTTATTTCTATTGCATCTAAGATAGTTTTAGGACCTTTTGAACAGTGTTTGTGATTCGAAAACAGAGTTTATTCTCAAGTAATTAAAGTTCAAATTTGTATAAATTGCAATAATTTGAAATTCTTCCTGTTCCGTGATAACACCATAGCTGTTCTAATTTATTACGATTAAATATCATGAATTTTAAATTTTTTGCGTGGAACCTTAATTCCATTTCTAAAATAAAAGTAGTCTATATTACTCAAGCAACAGTTCTTGCACAGATGTGTTCTGGTCTTGGTATAGAAAGGCATTCCATCTTAAATGTCACAGGTGACAACGCATCTGTGTGCTTCTCAATTGCAGTCGACTTTCTACTTTTGACGAGGCATTCCATCGAAGTCATAAAGAGTGACAACACATGTGCCTTTTGAATCTCAATCTAGGATAGATGTAGGTGTAGGTGTGCACGGGCCACAGCATCCACTTACATTCAGGTGTATTGTGTTTTGTCATAATAAATTATAAAAAAGCAACAATCATACAGACAGACATTTCAATATTAAAACTATTCATACCAAAATATTTACAAACGTAGTAATAAGGAAGTTATTGTAATTGCGGAAAAAAATATTAAGTAACAACATTACGACTTAGAGAATATTTAAACGCTAAGTCATGGTCATTGGCTTAGGAAAACCCAAATGAAACCCCTAGTTCGACCTACACAAAACCCCAAGGCTCTACACTGTACACGTTGTACTAACATTATTACCAATTTGAAAGATTGATCACTTTGCACCTTTACGTTTATACAGTGAAACCTGGATAACTGGGATCTTAAGGGACCTGCAAATTCGTCTCACTTATAGAGGTATTCAACTTACCCAGTGTCTCAGATATCCAGGTATAAATAAATATCTGTCTCATTTACAGAGGGTTAATTAATAGAGGTTTCAGTCAATTGTACTATATGTTATAGAAAAATAATATAGTACAGCGTAAAATAGCAGATTAATACTTCTGTGTTTCGTATGGTAAGTGTAGAGAGCCGGAGACTCTTTTCACTGGAAACGTGGCATTCCATCTCAGTCCTTAGGGGTGCCAACGCATTCTGGATTTTGATTTTTATTCGAGGATAGATGTAGATGTCTATCTGACCCATAATATACTTACAATCAGGTGGACTGTGTCCTCGTTTGTCTTGTTATTTTGCGAAATAAATTGGTCGCTTGCATTCATCTTAATTTGATTATATAAAAACAATTTCCTGAACAGTGTAACCTTGTTAAATACATCCCGGAAGTGACAAGTTTCTATTATTATGCGTGAAGTCAGTAAAAGATGGCGGCAGTTTATCTTCACCGGCAAACCACTGTCCGATCTAGAGCCCAAATGACATCCTCGCAAGCAACCTTTTAAAAAAATATTTATGTATCATCTATTATGAATTGAATAGTGGGCGCGTAGAGTCAAACCTGTTTACTATCACACGACAGACACCGGTGACGTGTGCGGTCGACCGAGCTATAAGGTTGTCGATTCCATGTTTCGATGAACAGTTGCAACGATACGATGACTCGCTTAGTTCTCTGATATTTAAACTAGCTGGTCCGGTATACATTGTTCTGCCTTTTCTGAGTTTCATTCCAGACTTTTTACAGGGTTAATATAAAATCAATCGCTGGGTCTCTTGTTGATTCTTCCCAGGATAAAGGTATTTTCCGAAACAGTGATAAATCTACATAGTGTAAAACAAAGTTGCTTCCCGCCGTCTGTACGCTTAGATCTTTTAAACTACGCAGCGGATTTTGATACGGTTTTCATCGATAGACAGAATTATTCAAGAGGAAGGTTTAAATGTATCAAATAACTTACACACGTATATTCCAAAACACACTCGTCCACTCACAGTTACACCTACACCAACATACGCACACGCATGCGCACACACACACACACACAAACATTGACACAAAGATGTATAGATTACCTGATCCACAGAGCTTTGCTCGCCGTTATCAATACATTATA